AAATTTTTTGATATTGTTCTAAAACATGGAAGCTAAAACTTGTTCTGACAATGCGAGGGCCATAGCATCTGCAGAGGATGCGTCTTAGGAAACTAAGATGCATTTCTCAGATTGGGAAATGGCAGATATGGTAGTTCGCTGCTATGTTCTTGTCAGTCTTTCCAAATACTTGCAGAAGCAAGTCTACATGATTAAGAGTGGAGTAGAAATGCTTCAGACTCTTAATGACATGTTTGCTGCGTCTAGCAGTTCTGCTAGACAGAATGCAGTCGGTGCAGGCTTTGCAAAGAGTCTTGTTAAATCCAAAGGGAAACCCAAGGGTGGTAACAAGAACAAAATAACTTGGTTATCAGTTGTCAAACCAGTTGCTATGAAGAAGCCGCAAGGCAAGTTCTTCAAGTGCAGAGTGAAGGGACACTGAAAGAAAAATTGCCCAGAGGTGATGAAAAGAACCAGACATGGGTATATTGAGGCCTGATCAGTGAATGAATCATTGATTCAGGAATCACTGATTATGTTTGTTACTCTTTGTAGTAGTTCAAACATGGCATACATGTCAGCAATGGACATAGATATTTTAAGCTTGAAAATGGGAACTTGTGTCTGCATTTGCAGTAAGACAAGTTATTTATAAGCTATGGTTTTGGGTGACTGTTTATTTGTTCCAGATTTCAAGAGGAATTCAATTTTTGTTAGTTGTTTTGGTTAAAACATGGGTTGACAATGCAATTGATTCCTCAGTTACATTTCGAAGTTCATCTTCGTCTTGTTTGTTCTGGTACATAGTTTAAATAGTCTTTATTACCTATGTCCTATACCCTTTTTAAATTTGTTATGTTGAATGGAAAGGATGATGAACAAGAACTTTCACTGAAGAAATAGAAGTTTCAAATGAAACATAACTTTGGCCTTTGTGATTGAGTCATATTATCTCAAGTAGGAAACATGTTTTAGTTAAAAGAGGGACTGAAAGTTCAAGAATCTTTTAACTAACAGCTACATGTTAGTCCTATTTGGAAGGTAAAATGGCCAAGCAATCCTACAAGGGCCAAAAAGGTTTGCGCAACTATTCAACTGGAACTGGTACATACTAATGTATGTGGACCAATTAGTGTTCAGACCAGAAGAGGTGATGAGTACTTCATTATATGAATGTTTACTCTGGATTTGGACAGATGAACCAAGTGCGCCATAAGTCTAAAGCTTTTGGAAATTCCAAGAGGTTTAGTCTGAGGCAGAAAAGCATGTAGGTGTTCAAATCAAAAACATTTTGGTCTGACTAAAGTGTTGGCTACCTGTCTGGTAAGTTCAGGTCTTACCTGATTTAAGAGGGGATAGTTTTTGTAACTGTCAACTCTAAGAATGCATTAGTTGAATGAAGTTGCAGTATGCAAAAATCAAACATTTCTAGACTTGGTGAAGATCATGTTCAGTTATTCATCTTTGTCAATGTTGTTCAAGGGAGATGCCTAAGAGAAGGAAATGTACCTTCTTAACGTGATTCTGTCAAAGTTTGTTGTAAAGACACCTAAAGAATTATGGAAAGGGTGCAAGCCCAGATCAAACCATATTCAGATTTAGGGTGCTACGGCACACGTCCTACAACAGCAGTCAAATAAGATGGAATCTTGTATGGAGAAGTGCATATCTTTTGGCTACCCTAAGAGAACTAGAGATGATTTCTTATTTAGTCTTAAGGACAAGATAATCTAAGTGAGCACTCACATGATTTTCTTAAAGGAGGACTAGATAAGAAATTATAAGCTCTTAAGTTAGGTTATTCTTGATGAGATTTATCTCAGATCAAGAATTTCCAGAATCTCTAGAAGCTTCATCCACTGTTCCCTTGATTGTTCAAGAGGGGATAGATATATCTCTAAGTGAACAAACAAGAGAACCATGATTGGAAATTCAACATGATAATATATAAGTGAAACTAGTAGAAATATTAGTATCACATGTAAATGAACAATATCAAGGATAAGCGGATCCTCAAGAAATTGAAGATCCATCATTTGACCCACTCTTTGTTTTACCTATAAATACACAAGGTCTAGTGCAATACATTCGTAGTGGGAGAGAACCTTGTTAAGTCTCAAGTTGTTTCTTGTTGAGTGATATTGATCCTACTAGTTACGATAATGCACTAGAAGATGTTGTTGATCAAGTGTTGCTCAAGCTATGAACAATGAGATGAAATACTTGTATTTCAACTCTGTTTGGTCCTAGTAAAGACACCAAGAGGGGTAAAACCCACAAGGTGCATGTGGACATAAAAGGCAAAGAGAGGATGGACAGAAAGGTGAAAACCTTCAAAGCTAGCTTGGAGGCAATTTTTGCCAGACGCCATGCTTGAGTCTATCCAGATTCTCTTAGTTGCTATAAGTCTCAATTATGAGATTTCATTTTGGGAGTTGGATGTCAGGATATCTACATACAACAATCAAAAGGGTTTATAGCAAATGGGTATAAACACATGGTATGCAAGTTGTGAAAGTCTATTTCATAGACTTAAACAAGCATCCAGGTCTTGGAACATCAGTTTTGATCAGGTTATCAAAATTTTGATTTTGAGAGAACCTTGATGAATGATGTGTATTTGTATGTAAAGGATCCAACGGAAGACAGTAGTTTTTCTAGTACTTTATGTAGATGATATGCTCCTTATTAGAAACAATGTGGAGGTAATATCAAGCATAAAGAGTTGGCTAAGTTAGTGTTTTGGTATGAAAGCACTGGGGAAGCCAATTATATTCTTGGTATAAAACTCTTATGAGACCGGAAGAATAAGTTGTTGGCATCACCTCAGGCTACTTACATTGACAAAACCCAAAATTCAACATGAGAATTCTAAGAAAAGAATTATAATTCTCAGATGTGGAATTTATCTTTCTAAGGAGTGACCAAAGACTTCTAAGAAGGATGAATGCATGAGCAAGATATCTTATGCTTTGGCAAAGGTAGACTCACGCATATCATGTTGGGCGTTAAACCAGACATCTGTCACGCAGTGGGAGTAGTGAGATAGTACCATTTTGAACCTAGAGGAATACTAGATTATTGTTAAGCATGTACTCAAGTATCTTTGGAGAACGAGAGATTATATGCTGGTATATTCTAGTGGGAGTCTTGAAAAGCTGAGTTTTTAAATATTCAGTTATTTCAAGTCGATATTGACTCAAGAAAATTAACCTCGAGCTATGAGTTTTTCACTAAACTCAGATAGCATTAGAGGTGGATCTTGCAGACCCAGTTACTAAGAGTTTGCCTGAACTTGTGTTCGAGAGGCATGTTACTTCTTTGGGTCTTAAGAGGATCCCAGACTTGCATTAAGCAAGTGGGAGTTATTGGTTTCATTGTGCTCTTGGAGTAAGACTATGAAACAATAAAATAATTTTCTGAATTTCATAAATAAGGTTTTATTTATTTATTTTGCGCACTATTTACAAACATAAAGGTCCAGATCAAATTGTGGAGTATATGATCATATGGATACGTTCATGGAGGACATGATCATAGGTTCTCACAATTGATGAATGGATTCACAGCTGTTAAATAAAGTTGGGCACTTTATTTAGGCTGCAATATTTTATGAAATAGTTTTGTCCGAATCATTGGAAAATATTGGTGTGAATTAACATTCACATTGAAAGGATCAAGGAGAGATTTGATTAAGGTTGTTTTTCTGTCATAAGGTATCAAATCTCCAGTTAACTATAGTTATGTGATTGCTCTTAATCCTGAGTTTATTATAAATAGGTAATCAAATAGTTTTCATTCTTTGATTTACCAACGGGTGAGGTTCGATCTATTGACGGCCAATAACTCGGTATTTTGGGAGTGAGATTATTTGATTATCGGTATTTATGAGATAAACAACATGGAATTTGTAGGATATGTCCCCTTGATATGTTTCGGTACTTGGATATTAAAGACACTGGCCAGTGCATGTAATCCATTAAAGAAACTATCATAGTCAAGGGAATAAATAATTGATTGAGTTACAGAAAACTTGTCAATCAATTATAGACATTCTACAAAGGGGCGATGCATATTCATGTTATAAGTGTTGTTAATCTTGGAGTTCAAGTTCGGGCTTTTAGTGGAGTAGCACCGAATTAGATAATCATTCGTTGATTATCAGGAGTCTTGATTAATAACAGATGGTAGATCCCCAAGCTAGCTTGAGACAAGGGATGGGGTATTTTTCGGATAGATGATGACTTATGGGTTACATGATCTTGGGTTTTACGACTCAAGTTTGTATCCAAAAGAGCAAGTGGGAGATTGTTGGGTTTGCTCTTTTACTAAAGCCCAAATGGGTTATTAGTATGAGAAGAGCCCAAGGAACCTAGAGCCCAATGAGCTAGGGTTTCTTGGAACCCATATAAATAGTACCTCTTAAGTCATCAGCCTCCAAGGTCTTTTTTGTGAGAAAGAGGCAAGCTCTGAATCTAATCAGTGCCCACACACTTCCCCTTCCTCCTCGAGAGATAGTTTGGAAGATCTGCCACAGTCCAGCTTCAAGGAGGTTGTTCGTGCTGCGGCGCTGAGGTGAGCTGTTCGTGAAGAGTACACGAGACCTGCGCACCGAGAGGTAATTGTGAAACAAGGATGATTCGGTAAGCATACCAATGTACTAGGTCCTAAACCGCTTCCGCATAAATCTAAGTTTTCCTACAAGTTTCATACAAAATAAAATGTAATAACATCTCTACTAAATTGCAATATATATTCATCAAGAACAAAGAAATAACTTATTAGAGAGGATAGGAAAAAAGTAAACCCATAAATTCTTCCTTGTATGACACCCTGATAGCAGACGAATGTATCTCACGATTACTCCGAGCTAAATTCTTCCATCCATCCACAAAACCATCATAATTAAAGAACATCACAACAAAATTACTTGAAGGGAATACTACCATCAGCAATATGAGCAGCATACATAATATGAGCTTTAGATTAAAGTGAAATTGTACAAGTGAAGCAACAATCACCTTTTTGACAAATGCTTTTTTCTTAACTCCTGCTGCAATAGACAACAAGTTCAATGGGTTCTTTGAAATTCTCTGAAGCAAAACGAATTGTAGAAATATCATTAAAAAGAATTAGAGAAGAAAAGTAAAGTACAGAATGAAAGCAGATAAAGTAGATGTCAGTCATCAACCTATAAAATTAGCAGAATTTTAACTAAAATATATCTAGATTTTAAGTTGATTTGTTTCATAAAGTACTAAGTTCCTTTGATTTCATTGTGCTACTTAATTATGCTCTTGTAAATAAAAAGATTTTCTAAGAGCAAGATATATATATTTTGCAAATAGAAGTCAATATATAAAGTTGAAATACTATTTCTACATATCAGTTTCCTGGATCAAGATCAAACTCCAACAAACAAACTCTATGTAGAAACAAAATTTTTTGCAAGGGGACAAGATTAATATACAGTTGATTAGCAACATTTTATTACGTGAAGCTTAAGACTAACATCATAAGAGTCTTAACTGAGTTTCCATTTCACATACATTACTCATATATAAGGGCCGCATTTCCAAGTTAGATGTTGTAGCAACAATTCCTTGAGGCAATGCCTCCCTTCTAGAACGCCAGCATTGTCTCTAGGGAAATGGAAATAGGAACAAAATTAGAGGTAATTCTAAGCAGTTACAATTTATATAAGTCATATAAAAGGGCCATTTTACGCCCAAAAAGACAAACCTTGCATGGATCAAATCTTGTGTCTGGCATTGTATAAATTGGTCCCGATCGTGCTACTCTCAGCATGTATGATGCCTAAAAATAATTTCAAGCAATCAAAGCTCAAATTTAAAACTAACTGTTTCGTAAAGTATTACAGAAAATATATGAGATGAATTAAAATTCAACACATAAATAAGGTAAAAACTATCAAAGCCTAAAATAAAACTGAAAACCTTTTGTTCAAAAAGATATGCAACTGACAGCAATCAAAATTATGTAGGAGGGGAAGGGGAATTGTTTAAATCCAGTTCTTTACCTAGAATTCCAAGCCAACATATATGTTAATAACTCAATATCTAATATAATTTCTATCAAGTAATTCTTTTTTTCCTTTTTCTTTTTTGATACAAGGTAATTCTTTAGTATTATACAATAATTTCTGCAGAAAACCGAAGGTGTGACAAGCATACGATCTTAGGAAGGAGATGAAAAGAAACTTCTCATTAATTTTTTTGTCTTACTTTACAATTCTTATAACACCTAATTATATAGAACTTCTGGGAAATTTCAAGAGTTGTTTCATACTTTGAACCATAAAATACATAGTGCCTTTATGGAATAAAAACGTGCATAATGATTCTTGAAATTTCAGAATTGGTTTCTAACAGAATTTGGAAATAAGCAAGAGACAAAGAAATACAACATATTTTATTGGAGAAGCTCCATAATTAAGAAGAATATGATTGGATTCGAAAAAGTGAGCACTGGATTTTTTTTTGGGTCTCTAGTCCCTTGAATATCAAAATAAGGGAGCCCTCGATCCATAAGATTCTTCAACTTGCAAGGGTCAGTTTTAATTGCACACAACCTTACTCTTGTATCTTTTGTAAAGAGACTATTTTTCAGACTCACACCTAGTGACTTTCCGATCACACGGGGCAACATTACTTACTCTAAGACTCACCTTCACCAATATAAGGAAGCCACAAGAAAAAGAAAAAGAAGAAATAAAAAAGATCAAATAACTTGAAGAAAAGAACTTTATATCTTTAAACAAGTTCAAATTAGCGGTTAGCCAAAAGGAGAGGAAGGAGGAGGATATCATATGACAATATCAGTTCCTTTTGAATTAGCAAGCTTTCAAATTAAGCCTTAATCTTGATTCAATCTGTTAATAACGACCTATAATTAATAGTCTTTATACACAAGCAAGCAAGCAATTTCTCAGCTTGATCTTTTGCAATTTCATTCTTCGATAATTTCTTTGTTTTTCACCTTATCATTATTAACCAAAAATGAATAAATGATGGAGATCACTGTAAAGCAAATACTGACCTCAAACATTTTATCGAATTGGTGCTTTGGCTGATTAGGGATCACATACAACACTTGCTCCTATAAGTTGGAGCAAAACCCAACTGGACCAGCAGTTTTATAGAAGGAAGAAGCAATTTCATTTGACCTTACTCACACCCTCACACATAGCATTGGATATGTATATAGATTTCTATTAAAATATATTAGAACACGCCACTCTTATAATCAAATCTTAACCGTTAATTTTCGTTAATCTGATGGTTATAATTTGTTAGATCACACTTATTAATTAATTATTAATTCTTAATAAATTATAACTATCAGATTAGAAAAAATCAACAGTCAAGATTTAGTTATAAGAGTTTGTAAACAAAGAAAATTTATAAATATAACATTTCTTAAATTATATATATAAATATGGAAAAACATTTCTGCCTTTGTGGCAGAAGTTTTTATCTAACACATCTATATACTACTGATAGTATATAGTATAATTTTTTGACAAACTCATTTTTTATGGGACCTACTCCTTTTTTGTGAGAGTAGTAATTTTGTCTCAATTGTAGAAAATTTGGACCCATATAAATATGGGATAATCGTTTGTCATGTAACATGACACCATTTGTGTCATATTACATACACAAAAATACCGTGGGCCCCATTGTATAGAAAAAAAAAAGCAAAACAAAAGTTAAAGTGAATAGTATCACGCTATATTGAGTCAGTAGGAAAGTGAACAATTTTCCCATTACATAACACTTGTATTTCTCTATAAATAAATAACAAAATTTAAAGGAATGCATAACCAAGGGAGAAGTTAACGCGCCAAACTATATATAGGTTAGAATCATGTGAAAGAACCACGTCACATGAAAGACGAACTTGGCACATTGGCACATTGGCAAATGGCAACACGCTATCTTTGAAAGAACAAATCATTTGGGGGTTAGGTAACACTAAAATCATTAATTAATGTTCTCGTAGTTAAGAAACTTCTCAGAACTTAACATTTCACTTGGCCCTTTATTTCTCCATTTCTTTGCTAGATTCGAATATCCGGCTTGGACCAATTTTGATTTATTTTGTCTGACTATGTATCCAATTATTAGGAGTGTTTGACTACCTCATTTTTTCAATTCGTTACCTATTTAATGTTGATTGATCATTAACTTAACACCATTACGTGACTTAAAAAAAAAACTCATCTATTATTATATATTTGATGTATTTATGTTAAAATTGTTTTTAAAAATCTTCTAAGCTTTATGCTTTACAAAATAAAATTGAATTTGAATAGAAGAATACAATAGAGTCCTATACAGATATATTAGAAAAAATTCCATCACTTAGAATTGTTAAATTGCGAATTTCATCCTTACCGCCCACTTCCTAATAAGGTAAAATAAAAAAAAATGGATAATATAACAATCAAATGGTAGTAGCTCAGTTCTCACATGGGAGTTGAGCAAGTGGGGGTAAGAGCATGTGTTCGATCCTCTCCAGTATCACCTTTGGGAGGAATTTAAAGCTTTAACCCTAGAACCGCCCCGAATCAGATTAGTCGCGAAATGATGAACCGGTAGAATATTTCTAAAAAAGAAAAGATACATAATATAACTCATCGGAGCTTGAGCTGTTCAGTATAAAAAAAAAAGTATTGATTTGACAAGGTTTAAATGACTTTAAAAAAATAAAATAAAAAACTCAGAGCTTACCCAGGAAAACCCAAACTCTCAAACAGAAAGCTCAAAAGTCAAAATAGCATTTAGCCCAGACAGGCAAGCTCAATTTTACTTCAACCATGGTATGATACACGCAAGGACACTGTGTTGAAAAAATTGGATCAACAGAAGCGACTTTGGACCTAATATTTGTATGCTTATGAATCATCAATGTCTCGCAACCACAAAAATCATACATCTCAAAGCGTAGATCTGCGAGAAACCTCCCATATGTAGGTGTGGTATTCCTTCTTGCCTCTGTTGCCATAGAATCTCCTCTGCACGAACTTCCCTCCTCAACGCCACAGCACAAACATACTTCCTCAGTGTCACAGTACGATCTGATCTCCTTGTCCAAGATTACTTCTAGGTAATCTTGAAGATTATCTTCAAGGGAGAGGGGGAAGTGTGTAGGCACTATTACTTTTTCAGATTTGATCTTACCTCACCAAAAGCAACTTGGAGGTTGATGACCAAATATATATATATATATATATATATATATATATATATATATATATATATATAAGTACCAAGAAATTCTAGTCCTAAGCTTCTTAGACTTTAGACTTCTTGGGCTCTACTGATACATTGAGCCCAATTGGGCTTTGCTAAAAGAGCATAAACCCAACATTATCCTACATGCTCGAGTACAAACTTGAGCCCAAAGCCCAAGACCATATAACTCACTAGTCATCGTCAACTGAAATTACCTCATCCCTTATCTCAAGCTAGCCTGGGGATCTACCATCTATTATTAATTTAGGCTCCTGATAATCGATAAATGATTATCTAATCCAGTGTTACTCCACTAAAAATTCGAACTGGAACTCCAAGATTAATAATATTTATAACACAAATATGTGTCGTCCCTTTGTATAATGTCGATAACTGACTGATAAGCTTTTTGATACTTAATCAATTATTTATTCTCTTAACTGTGATAGTTTCTCTAATGGATTACATGTATTGGCCAATATCTTCAATATCCAAATATAGAACCATATCAAGGGAACATTTCCTACAAATTTCATATTGTTTATCTCAAAAATACTAATAATCAAATAGTCTAACTTCCAAAATACTGAGTCATTGGTCGTCAATAGATCGGACATCACCCGTTGGTAAATAAAATAATGAAAACTATTTAATTATCTATTTATAATAACTCAAGATTCAGAGCAATCACATAACTATAGTTAACTAAATATTTGATACCTTATGACAGAAAAATAACCTTAATCAAATCTCTCCTTAATCCTTTTAATGAGAATATTAATTCACATCAATATTTTACAATGATTCGAACAAGTCCACTTTATAAAATATTACAGCTTAAATATAGTGCCCAACTTTATTTAACAACTATGAACCTATTCATCAATTGTGAGAACCTATGATAATGTCCTCCATGAACGTATCCAAATGACCATATACTTCACAATTGATCCGGACCTTAATGTTTGTAAATTGTGTGCATAAGATAATGAACAATACATCATTTGTAAAACTCAGAAAAAAGATTACATTGTTTCATTGTCTTACTCCAAAAGCATAATGAACACATTATCTCTCACTCACCTAGTGCAAGTCTGGGATCCTCCTAAGACCCAAAAAAGTAAACCTCTCAAATACAAGTTCAAGCAACCTCTTGGTAACAAAGTCTGCCAAATTCACCTCTAATGTTATCTTGGTTTAGTGTAAACCTCACAACTCGAGGTTAATTTTCTTGAGTCAATATCCACTTGGAAAGCTGAGTTTGTGTAATCTAAGGTTTTCAAGACTCCCTCTAGAATATACCAGCATATAATTTCTCGTTCTCTGAAGATACTTGAGTACATGCTTAACAACAATATAGTGTTCTTGTAGGATCAGATTGATATTGTCTCACTACTCCCACTGTGTGGAAGATGTCTAGTTTGATGCATAATATGGAATACATTAGACTACATATTGCCAAAGCATAAGATATATCACTCATGTATTCTTCCTTCTAAGGAGTCTTTAGAGGTTACTCCTTATGAAGATGAATTCCACGTCTGAAGGATATAATTCCCCTCTAAGAATTCCCTATGTTCAATTTTGGCAGAGTTTTGTCAATGTAAGTAGCCTAAGATGATGCCAGCAACTTATTCTTCCAGTATCGTAAAAGTTTTATACCGAGAATATAATTGCCTTCCCAGATCTTCCATATCAAAATGCTTACTTAGCCAACTCTTTATGCCTAACAATACATCCCATGTTATTTCCAATAAAGAGCATATCATCTACATAAAGTACAAGAAAAGCTATTGCCTCCCTTTGGATCCTTTTACACACATACACACATCGTTCATTAAGATTTTCTCAAAATTAAAATTTTTGATAACCTGATCAAACCTGATGTTCCATGACCTAGATGTTTGCTTAAGTCCACAAAATGAACTTTCACAACTTATATACTGTGTGTTCCTACTCTTTGCCTATAAACCCTTTTTGGTTGTTCCATGTAGATATCATCTTCTAAATTTTCATTGAGAAAAGTTATTCTGACATCCATCTTCTAAATTTTCATTGAGAAAAGTTATTCTGACATCCATCTACCAAATCTCAATTAAATCTCATAATTGATACTTGTAGCAGCAACTAAGAAAATCTGGATAGACTTAAGCATGGGGTTTGGCAAAAGATTTTTGCATAAGGAACACCCTTTATTGGGTATGATCTTTTGCCTCCAATCTAGCTTTGAAGGTTTTCACCTACTCATCTATTCTTTCTTTTCCTTGTATGTCCACATACACCTATTAGGTATTACCCTTCTTGGTGCCTTTAGCAGAGACAGAACAGAGTTGAAATAAAAGTATTCCACCTCATGGTTCATAGATTTAAGCCACACTTGATTAACAACATCTTCTATTGTATTATCGTAACTAGTTGGATTGTTATCACCCAACAAAAGATAACTTGAGGGTTGACAAGGTTCTTTCCCACAACAGACATATCGCACTAGACATTGTGTATTTACTAATAGATCCAAGTTTAGGTCAGGTAGTGGTTCTCCAATTTGTTGAGGATCCAATATAATGTGTTAACAACTCCTTGATATTATTCTTCTACATTTGATACTAATATTTCTATTAGTTTTACCTGTATATTATCAAGTTGAATTTTCAAATACGGTTCCTGTATTTGTTTACCAAAAGGTATATTTTTCCCTCTTTGATCAACCAAAGGAACATAGGATGAAACTTCTAGAGATTCTAGAAATTCTTTAACTGAGATAAGTCTCATCAAGAATAACCTTAATTATGCATAGGCATATAATTTTCCGCACAGTCCACCTTTAAGAATGTCACGTGAGTTCTCACTAAGAGCTTTTATCCTTTGGATTATAGAAGATCCGACCCTGGGTTCTCTTAGGGTAGCCAATAAGCATGCACACTTCAATACAAAATTTTATCTTATTTGACTTCTGTTTAAGACGTATGTCGGAGCACCCTAAATCTGAATATAGTTTGAACTGGGCTTGCACCCTTTCCATAATTCTATAGGTGTCTTTATATTAAATTTTGATGGAACCAAGTTAAGAAGGTTCATTGCCTTCTCCTAAGCATCTCCCCAAACAATATTGGCAAAGATGAATAACTGAACATGGACTTCTCCATGTCATCAATTAAGGCATTTCTATGGTTGACAGTTATGAAACTATCCACTCTTGAATCAGGTAAGACCTAAATTTTCCAAACAAATACTCACCACCTCAGATAGACCGAAGTGTTTTGATTTATATATCTAGATTTTTTTCTGCCTCGAACCTAAAACTCTTGGATTTTTTCAAAAGCTTCAAGGTTATGGCACACTAGGTTCACATATCTAAATCCAAAGTAATAATTGATATAATGCAGAACTCATAACCTCTTTTGGCTTGAACACTTATCGATCTACTTACATCAGTATCTACAAATTATAATTGAGCAGTTGTGCAAATTCCTTTGTCCTTGAAAAATTGATTGGTCATTTTACCTTTCAAACATGACTCACATGTAGGTTTTAGTTCAAAGTCTATGTAACTTTGAGTCCCTCTTTTAACTAAACCATGTTTTCTATTAGACCCAATGAGACCCAATCGCAAGGGTGAAATATATGCTTCATTTGAAACTTTTCTTTCTTTCATTAATAAGGTTATTGTTCATCATCCAACATTATTAATTTGATTGGTTATAGGACACATGTAATAAACACCATTTAAACAATGCACCGAAACAAACAAAATGAGGATGAACTTCAAAATGAAAATGAGGAATTAAATTGCATTGTCAAACCACGTTTTAACCAAACAACTAACAATAAGTAAATTCTTCTTGAAGTCCTGAACAAAAAAACAGTTATCCAAAATTAAAGTCCTTCAATTTATCAATAACTTATCCTACTGCTCCTATAGACACAAGCTCATCATCTTCAAGTTTAAAATTTCTTTGTACACTGCTGACAAGCACGTTATGTTTGAACCACTACAAAGAGTAGCAAACACAAGCAATGGTTCATGAATCATTGATTCATCCACTAAACAAAGCCTTAATTTACTCATGCTTGGTTCTTTTCATAATCTCTGGGTAATTTTTCTTTCAGTGTCACTTTAGTCTACACTTGAAGCACTTCTCTTTTAGCTTCTTCATTGCAACTGGTTTGACAACTTATAACCCTATCACTATGTTCTTGTTACCACCCTTGGATTTCCTATTAACAAAACTCTCAGCAAAACCTGTTGCACTTAGTACATTCTGTTCAGCGGAACTGCTGGACATAGCATATAGGTCATCAAGAGTCTGAAGCATCTCTGCTCTACTCTCAACCATGTTTACTTGCTCCAACAAGTGTTTAGGAAGACTATTAAGAATATAGCAGTGAACTACAATATTTTCCTTATCCCAATTTGAGTGTTGCATCTTTATTGTCTCATACACATCCTTTGTAGTTTACTGTGGCTTTAGGATTGTCAGGACAAATTTGAGCTTTTCATGTTTTAGAACAACATCAAGGTTCATCTTTCATTGTTCATTGTTGGTATCATCCAGAGGTTTTTGACTCAAAATCGTTTCTAAATGATTGGAGGAAGACATTTTCTGAAGATCATAAAAGCACACAATTACAAACAAGTAATACATAAATAGGCCAAGTACAAGTAGATTCTCTTAACTACTATTGTTTATTGTTAACAATCTTTTAGTTTCCCGCACAAGGCTTACATTGGGCAAGTCATTTGTGATAAAATAAAATTGTTATTTAGGTCTTCAGTACAAATTATCATAGCCTCGATGGGAGGTTTAATAATTTTACCAAAGTTGAATACGTTTAACCATTGTTTAATTTCAAAATTATCCTTTGTAGTCATGCATTGTCAACGTTGAGCCGTATAACACTTTACTAAAACTTTGAAATTATTAAGGTTTAATCTAGTGAAATCTGATTATGCTTATTCGTTGGAGTTTCAGCCATAACCATTTCACTAATAAACTCACAAATGGAGCTTGTAGGTTCAACATTAATTAATTAATTCAAAACCTTCACACATAAAATATTATTTAATGAGAATTTTCATATGTTTTATCAAATCTAAAATTCACTGTTTAATTTCAAAAATTACATTGAATAACTTAGTATTGTCGAGCTATAGGTCTTAAAATACTTTATTAAAATTTAAAATTATTTTTGCCCAATAAAATTTAATCATGTTTATTCGGTGGTGTTTCATATGATTATTTTATTAATAAGCCCACAATACGCCTGGAGGTTAAATTAATTTCTTAATTTGAATCTCCTCCCATTATTATTTAGGCTCAATCTAATAAAATTCAATCATGTTTATCCCGTGGGGTTCAAATGATTATTTTATTAATATGCCCATAAAAAACCTAGAGGTTAAATTAATTTCTTACTTTAAATCTTTTCTTATTCAACATAACTAATTTTCCAATTTCCTAGAATTGTGCATTCAAGCATAACCTTTGTTTGATTTGAAAATTGTCTAAGTAAGCAGTAGCCAATGAACGTGCATCACATGACTTATCAATATTTTGAAATTATTAAGGTCCATCCTAAAATCCAGTCATAATAGGTCACGTGTGTGACACACGATCATGATATGTAACCTGTATGACACATGACTGTGATATGTGTATCTTTAGACATAACAATTTTAAAGGATCCATAATTTAGTCACAAAATTTCTTAAACAACTCTCTTAGGAAATATTCTCAATTCTTTATCTTGATTTGAATGATTCAAAATAATTGACTTAATTATTAATCTAAATTTTAGGAATAATAATAATTGTTATTTGTTAGGATAATTCGAAATCAAAATAATTGTCATATATGTACACATTTTGAAAATTAAAATTAATGTCAAAATGAATATTAATCTAGCCTATAAAACGTAACAACCGTTACCCATATATTTCGGAATGTAAATGAATTACCATAGTAAGTATTAATCTAGTCATTCAAAAATAACAGTCATCATGCTCATGTAATTAATAATTTATGCAACAATATGACACCACTTATTTTATATGATATGTTATCATATGAAGCATGTTATCAAATCATATAATTAATCCATTCGTAAAAGTAAAGCAATTTTAAAATAAATTTTAGCTCATGGTTTCCTAGAGAAAAATAAAATAAATAAATTTACAAGCCGATATTTTATGGCCAAAATATTATCTGACTTGTACTCTTATTTTCCTCCTTCTTTCTAGGTCCAAAAGGTTCTGGTCCAAGCCTTTTTCGGAAACCATGGGCTTACAGGCCCAAAATACCAAAAAACTAGCAAGAAACTATAGCCCTTTTCTTGGAAACCCTAGTTGTCACATGCACTGTGGCATCACATAAAGTTGTCTTAGCACGACAACATGGGGGCAAGACCATCATGAAGATAAGGACACACCGCCGCAAGAGCCATCCTTACACGCCGAATTTGTATCGACTCGTGAAGCCTATACGCGCATGTGGGTGCGTGGAACACCTTCTGGGGAAGCTCCTATTGCCATCTCCACCGTCCTTTTATCCTCTTTCGTGCCATGTATTTGGTCTCTTCAATCGGCCACGGATAGATCATAAACACGTCAAAAAGGCTTCAGGTGTCCTACTTTTGGCTTCTTTTCATAACAATTTTACAAAATATTAAAAAATATACAAAAATTGAAATAAAATTCAAGGAGGAAACCTAATCATAAAGGATTAGCCCCGTTGTTACAATCGCAAAAGAATACATAGAAATATCTACCATGGACTAAAGCAAAAATCAAAATAAAAGTATCGATTTTTATGTAAATAATTATAAAAGATACACATACAAATCATATGACCAACAATTATAGAATCCTAGGTGCCATATTTTATGAAGAAAACTAATTACATGAATAATGAGACTAAATTCACATACAAATGCACAACCAAGGCTCTGATACTAATTGTTGAAAAAATGGGATCAGAGAAAGCGATTTGGGGCCTAATACATTTATGTGCTTACGAATCACCATTGTCTTGCAACCACAAAGATCATATCTCTTGAAGCGTAGATCCACAAGAAACCTCCCTTGTGCAGGTGAGGTGTTCCTTCTCTCCTCTCCTGCTATGGAATCTCCTCGATCTGCACGAACTTGCCTCCTCAAAGTCACAACATGAATAGACTTCCTCAGTGTCACAATACAATTTAATATCCTTGTCCAATATCGCTTCTGTGTAATCTTCCAAACTATCCTCAAGGGAAGAAGGGGAAGTGTATAGGAACTCTTAGTTTTTTAGATCTGATCTTATCTCAGCAACAGTAGCTTGAGGCACTCTTAGTGAGGATATATATATATATATATATATATATATATATATATATATATATATATATAGGGATTTGAATCCATCATGCGACAGGAAAATAAGAGAGTTTTCTATAGATACAACATATATGGGGTACCAAGAAATCTTAGCCCTAAGCTATTTGGGCTCTAGACTTCTTAGACTCTTCTCATACTGAGCTCAATTGGACTTTGGTAAAAGAGCGTAAATCCAACACACTGATGACTAAAATAATGAGAATCCAACTTTTAATCTACTTAAGTGTCAAGCTTTACAGTAATATAGAATGTGATAAAGAATAAGTGAAAAATTATAAGTAACAAGAAGGAGTTTACATGATTTCCAGAATAAAACGTACAAAACAAGGGCAACAAAGCACGGAGGAATTTGGCGAGGGGACAATATAGTTCTAAGTTCTATTTCCAACAACTCCGTATTTATTTGCAAAATGAATTGAAAAATAAAAAATAGAAATAAATATTTTTTTTTCAAATATGCTATTAATCATGTTTGGAAAAATTGTTTTCTTCCTCATGACTCCATTAACTTTGTATAAGCAAGAAACATTCAACCCACACTTCATTAGAATTTAGCTCCACCTATGGTTAAACCCAAAAGCTTCCAAAATTCTTTGCAGGAAACCTCATTCCAAGTTATCATACCTTTTGGTCATATTCAATTTTATAGCCATTCCATAATCTAAGCCTCTTAGGGTGTGCATGACAACCATTCTGTTCTCTGGCATTGTTTCTGAAAAGAAACAATTCTTTTCTATTTCTTTGCTTTGGAACAGTTTCTGAGAAAAAAATGTGTTTGATAACATGTTTTATTTTTATTCTAAAAATGAGAATTGTGTTTGATAACACAACAAATAATAGAATAAAAAATCATTCCTACTAAGCATAAAAAAATTTCGGATCATCACTTTCCTTTTCATATGATGTGGTGGTGGCGGCGGCAGCGGTAATGGTGGCGATGGTGATGGTTGTAGTAGTGGCGTCGTGGTCGTGGTGGTGGTTGTGGAGGTGATGGTATGGTGGCGGCAGCAGTGGCAATGGTGATGGCATGGTAGCGACGGTGGTGGTGGTGACGGTAGTGGCTACGGTGATGGTGGCGGTAGTGGTAGTGATTATAATAACCTTCACTAGTAGTTGTAGATTTAATATTGAAGAATAATTAGAAGTAAAAGAAATAAAGTTACCTTAGGTTAAAAAAGAATTAAAATGACAGTTAAGGGATAAAAATACGGGTAAATAAAGTTATCCAAAAAGTGAAAGTAAAAATAAAATCGTGACTAGAAAAATATTCTAGTCTATGGGGTAAAGTTTGGTAATGATTGGAGGTAAGTAGATAGATGAGTTTATACCCGCTGGTATAGTGAATTGATTTAAGTGACTAAGGAGTCACTATTCCTTATTTTTCCTCGCGTTTTCTTCCACGGCTGCGACAAAGAAGAAATGGAAGATAGAAAATTTTGATGGAAAATCTTCCTCAATTCATAACTTGAGCTAGAGACCTCCAAATCACTTCGTTCCAAAGCCAAACTTGTGAGAAATTTCGAGAGGAATCCATTGGCACCAGTATTTCTGGGTGGGGTTCACTGTAGAGAGAGATCTTCTCCCCCAAAGATTTCTAATTTCATGGAAAAGATGGATTTTGATGGAGCTTGAGGCGATGGGAGCTTAGAAACTCATCTCTCATTTGTTCTAGAGTGCATTGTGATAAGAAATTCCCTTCATTTTCATGTTTTTTATGAAGATTGAATTTAGGTTTTCGTTTTGAAAATTTGGTTTGATTGAGCATGTTAGAGCTTGATTCAGGTTTAGCTCATGTTGAGAAAAGTGTTTAGATGAGAATTTTAACAGTGAAAATGTTTTTGGAAAATGAAAGATACCTTATTTTTGAATAGTGTCATATACGTGAATAGTGACGTATACATGAATTGTATTGCAAAGATGGACAGTACCGTATATATATGAATTAATGAATCTTGGATTAGAGGTGTGTGATAAGCTTGAATTTGATGGACTAAAGCATTGGAATCATGAAGTTGGCATGATTTTCTTTATGTGATTCTTAGCCATTTTCAA